CTGCTGTTGCTGCTCCTGCTGTCGCCGCCCCCGCAGCAGCAGCAGGAGTAGAAACGGCAGCAACAGCAGCAGCAGCTGCTGCAGCAGCAGCATCTGCTGCTGCTGCTGCGGTTGCAGCTCAATAAAAATTGCTGGGGCGAGAACATAGTGGAAGCACGACAAAGGTTTAGGGTTTAGGGTTTAGGGTTTAGGGTTTAGGGTTTGAGGGTTTAGGTGTATATACACCACGTGAGCCGTCAGTATCAGCAAGAGAGCAAACAAAACACCTGCGCATACACCCCAACTCTAAACCCTAAACCCTAAACCCTAAACCCTAAACCCTAAACCCTAGATTCCCTGCGGAGTTGAATACCCCAGGCCTAAAGAAGTGAAACAAAGAAGGGTTTATGCACGCCAGAGCTAGGGTTTAGGGTTTAGGGTTTAGGGTTTAGGGTTTAGGGTTTAGGGTTTACTTACACTCGTATCGAGTCGACGGCAGTATAAGATGAAGCGCAGCAGCAAGCTGCCTATACACCGCAGCTATTGTCTCTTTTAGCTGCTGCTGATAGGAGACATACTCTCCTGCTGCTGCTGCTGCTGCTGCTGCTGCTGCTGCTGTTGGTGCTGCTGCTGCTGCTGCTGCTGCTGCTTCTGTTGTTGCAGCAGCAGTTTCACGGCCCGCTGCGGCGCTGTCTCCCTCTTCATCAGCAGCAGCAGCAGCAGCAGCAGCAGGACCCCCCGCTGCTGCTCCTGCTGCTGCTGCTGCTGCTGCTGCTGCTTCGTTGCTGCTGCTGATGCGAGCAGCAAGGGCCTCCTGTATGAGGGTTTTGAGTAGATGCATCCCCGCGTGCAGCTCCCGCAGACTGTCGCTTTTTATCTTTCCCTAAACCCCACAAAACCCCAAACCCTAAACCCTAAACCCTAAACCCTAAACCCTAGAGCTTAAACCCTAGTAAACAACGCCCCCAGCACAGCTGCTGAGGCGGCACCCCACAGCTACTTCTCTCGTTATATAAATAGCTACCTCGATGGCTAGCTGCTAGCTAGCTGATTACCTCTCCATCTAGCTGGCTAGCTAGCTAGCTAGCTAGCTAGCTAACTACCCCCCTAGCTAGCTAGCTAGCTAGCTAGCTAGCCAACTACCTCTCTAGCTAGCTAGCTAGCTAACTACCCCCCCAGCTAGCTAGCTAGCTAGCTACCTCCCCAGCTAGCTAGCTAGCTAGCTAGCTACCCCCCCAGCAAGCTATCTAGCTAACTACCCCCCCAGCTAGCTAGCTAGCTAGCTAGCTAGCTAGCTAGCTAGCTAGCTAGCTGTTCTGCTCCGTACCTGAAAGAAGGAGGGGGTGGTGATGACGACTTCGCATTCAAAGGCAATCTGGATACGGGGGGGGGCCGCGGGATCGATCGATCCCACAACGATCCCAGCAGTGTGGGGTGTTGTTGTGGGGTTGTTGGCGCCCAGCTGCTGCACCCCAGCCCCGCTGGGGGTTGTTGTGGGGTTGTTGGGGTTGTTGGATCCCAGCTGCTGCACCCCAGCAGTGTGGGGTGTTGTGGGGTTGTTGGGGTTGTTGGATCCCACATCGATCCCAGCGATGTTGGGGGTTGTTGTGGGGTTGTTGGTTCCCGGGTGTATGTGGTCGGTGTGGGGTGTTGTTGTGGGGTGTGTGTGGGGTGTGGGATCGACGATCCCCAGTGCTGCTTGAGGGTTTAGGGCTGCGCATGCAAGCCGCTGCCTCAGAAAAAAAGTTTCAGCATATGGGGGCCCAAATAAAAAGTTTTTTGTTTCTAGCAGCAGCAGCTGAGGTGTACATACACTGCAGCTGCTGCTCTCCTGCAGCTGACCCCGAGAAGGTAAACCTAAAATACGAGTTAGTGATGATTCAGGCACTGCACACAAACCCTAAACCCTAAACCCTAAACCCTAAACCCTAAACCCTAAACCCTAAAGTCTAAGCCCTGAGTGCAGAGAGCTCTTATACTGCTGAGCTTGCTTCAGTGTAGTCACAAATATACATACAACATACAAACCCTAAACCCTAAACCCTAAACCCTAAACCCTAAACCCTTAATAGAGAGAGGTTCTATACATCTGAAACCCTAAACCCTAAACCCTAAAAGGAAGGTTATGTTGACGTTAACCTAAACCCTAAATCCAACACACTCAAACCCAGAAACCCTAAACCCTAAACCCTAAACCCCAAACCCTAAACCCTAAACCCTAAACCCTAAACCCTAAACCCTCACGCTTAATGTCAGCTGTGAACTCTCGTGAGGCCTGAAAAAAACGGCCGCTTAAAATTCCCTTTCGTAGAGACAACAACTCATCCTCGTCTGCTGCTGCTGCTGCTGCTGCTGCTGCTGCTGCTGCTCCTGCTGCTGCTGCTGCTGCTGCTGTTTTTGGTTTTGCTGATGTTGCTTCTGCTGCGTCTGCTGCTGCTGTTGCTGCTCCCCCACCGCATACAGTAGATTCACCATTCTTGCTGCGATCGTTGCTGTTGCTGCTGCTGCTGCTGCCGTTGCTGCTGCTGCTGCTGTTGCTGCTGCTGCTGCTGCTGCTGCTGCACTGGCGCCAGGGCGGCATGGGGTCGGGGAATATAGCGTCCTTCTCCTTCAGCACGCTGCAGCAGCAGCAGCAGCAGCAGCAACAGCAGCAGCAGCAGAAAATATACAAGTTGTAACAACAGCACGGACAGCAGCAGCAGCAGCAGCAGCAGCAGTAACAGCAGCAGCAGCGTGCAGGAAGAAGCAGCAACAGCAGCAGCAGCAGCACTTCCAGCAGCAGAAGCATCAAACGCCGCTTAACCGCATGCATGCAGCAACAGCAACAGCACCAGCAGCAGCAGCAGCATCAGCAGCAGCAGCAGCAGCAGCAACAGCAGCAGCAGCAGCAGCAGCAGCAGCAGCAGCAGCAGACCTGGTGAGGGGACTGGAATTAGGGTTTAGGATGAGGACGTCGATGAGCTCTGCTAGGGAGGCATCAAAGGAGACAGTACAAACACAG